CAAATGATTCGGCGAAGAGACTCTTCTCAACGAATTTATCATCAAGCTGTACAATCGTATATATATGGTTTTTAGGAAGTTATAGCCGGTGAGAGCATTAAATCATAGGTGTGAATACATAAAACAATAATAATATGAAATGCAATTAAAACTAAAATGTTTGTGATTACAATCGTAGTTAAATTTCAAGTGGATGGATAGAACTTGAGAAAGGGTGTGCAAATATAAGATTAGTAGACAAATCGAATAAAATAAAAACGTCACGTAATACTGTGTGAAATTTAATAGCATAGAATTTAATGTTGTATAAATGAATTGATTTAGAATGACAAGTGGAACAAGTGAAATAATCCCGGGCACCATTAAAAGTGAGAGTAGTAATAGTAACAATTGACGTAATAAGGAATTGAATAGACAAAAATGAAAAATTGGTAGAGCTAAAATATGATTGGGGATTACCATACTTTAGCATAGAGGGATTAAGAACATGAAAGTTGGAGGGGTTGAAGGAACTTTTTCTGTACACAGAGATCTGGCTTTTCTGTTTCGATAGCCTAAGCTTCAGCAATACAAATGAGTCGGGTACGTAGGGATTTGGGTAAATTACTCTTCGCATTGTAGATGACTTTAAAGGCGGAGGCTATAGAGATAGGGTGATCATTATCTACCAGATGTTGAAGTTCTATCCATCGTATGAATTATTCTGTATATGACATTGATTTGCTTTGCCACTTGACATTTAACTACGATTGTAATCACAAACATTTTAGTTTTAATTGCATTTCATATTATTATAATTATTTTATGCATTCACACCTATGATTTAATTCCCTCACCGGATATAACTTCTTAAAAACCATATATACACAATTGTACAGCTTGATGATAAATTCGTTGAAAAGAGTCTCTTTGCTGAATCATTTGTTTTGATTTTTAGAAGTAGCTAGGACCTATTGGGTTTGCTAATCAGCGTTGTCTCAACCCTCTCAGTCCAAATTCAGCTTTGAGCGTCACCACTTCAGAACAAAGAGACGTAGTTCAACACATAGTGACGATTTTTTCAGCTTTATTTCAGCTCTGAAGGCAATATCCCAACTGCAAATCCTATTTATAAGGTTTCGTCGAATTAATTAAGCGTCCAGTGCTCGTTTTAGTAACGACCAGTGTTATTTCAGTACATAGTAGGTTCATTTTAGGTAGAAAAAATATTCAGCTACCATAGAAAGGCATTATCAATGAATAGGTTAGAATTAATTCGGGATTATTTTAAGCTTGAAATATGTAGTAAAACTGAATAATACGGGGTAGAAATGTCCAAAATACTGCAAAAGGTGGTACCAATTCGTCATAAGAGTAGTTATAGACGTAACAAACCAATGCCGATAGAGAAATTCATCCAAGTTGCTGTGTATCACATCATTTTGGGAACCACTTAGTATTCTAATACGTTTTTGTTAGATGAGCACGAAGTCCTTCAATAGAAGCTTTATGAGTTCCTTTTAAAAGATCAACAAAATTCAGAAGAATAATTGACTTAATGGTGTATATAGCCTAGTGATGACAGCTGCGAATAACTTCCCCACTCGTCTGTGTGAATGGTAGTGTCAGGGAAGACAAGTCATGGTTGCATCTGGACACATAACCATCAATGGCCCGGTTATATTTTTGAAGAGTCATTATCCCTTCAGATATGTATGTTTTAATTCTGCCTATCAACTCGTTTTCCACATTTTTCCATTTTCCTTCGATGAGTATTTAACTTTCAACCACTGGAGAAATGATTTGCTTTGTAACGAATATATTTCAAAGACGATAACTGCTAACATTCACTCCACTTTGGCGTCTGAATGTTTGCTCCTGGTATGAGCAACTGTTTCCTCATGGGCAACAGAGCGTTGACTTCTGTATAGGGGATTTTTTTCTTTACACTTGTGTCGTAAAGTTCCAGGTTTCAGCGTAACAGCTGGTACATCGACCAAAGAATGTATTGTGCGCATCAACATATCTAAGTATGTGGGTTACACATTGCACATGGAGGTTTTAGTGTGCACTTTATCGAGAAAATACCTTTGCCTTCATTTCAGATTCACACTTGTGTCATACACACCAACTCCGCAGTCGGTCAGGACATAAAAACTGAGCCAGGAGGCCATTAAACCGGGCAATATATCAGATCTTGGCAAGAGTAAAGAGCAAACACCAAAATGTATCATTGATGCATCGATATAACGTCTCTTGATATGAGAATAGACCTTGTGCACTGTGGTATAGTTCTATTGTGGATAAAACTTATTTTGATAAAGTCTCACAGTGTTATGCAATAATATTTACTGATGACCAGGTTTCGAGCACAATTTATTACTGCTCATAATCATATCAAGTTTTCACAATCATTAGAAACTCTTTAGTTTTCTAGATTTGCCTTTTTGCATATCTGATGACTGTTAATAGGGCTAAATAAGTGTTGACTGTCATTTTGCCTGTAATGTCATGCAACCTCTCTATTGAGTGTGACCTGTAAGTTAATTTTAAAGTAACTGTGACTGACGTATTGAGACCTAACTACTGTATGACTGGTGAAGAAGTGGTCAGTAGTATTGGTCTCGTGGAAGTGTTGAAGGACTATCAATATTGAACAAGTGCGTTGGCTGATTATAGGTGACATAAGAGCTCCCATGGAATTTGTGCCGCATATCTGTGTTTCAATGGTCTTCAGATCAATAGCATCGTACACGTGGCTCGAGTCCCACCGTCTGGGAAATCTGTACGAAGTTGAATTTACAGGAGACAAATTTACTGTTTATTTTTCACATTACTAAGCGGTAATGTTTACTCACTGTTATTCAGCTTCCATTCACTGAAATTATGCAGCTCCTGCATCATCATCATCATTATTATCCTTTTGGTTTCTGTAAAAGATTCTTACTACGGGAATAAAGTGAATGCAGTGAAGTTGCCCGTTTCAGCAACTTTCTTGCATGAAATACATTTCCATTCAGGTGTAGGCTTAACGTCAGCCTGAATTTACACGTCTGTAACATTGAAGTTGTACACGCAGAAGCTGCCGATCAACATCCAGGTGTCGGCTACAATGAAAAATTTCACCTATTTTTGTGGTGAAAGTAGAAAGTACCTCTCCCCTTGATCCTATAAGAAAGTTTCGTAAAGAAGAATTGTTAAGAGTAGAATTTGCTTTGTTTCAATATTCATGTAAGTATGACCACAGAACGGTTCACCATTTTAGGTTACTTTGTCTGATTTGCAAAGAAGTATGAGGTAACGGTGTGACAACGCTATATTCGTCCATCGTAACTAAAAAACACTTACACATAATGTCTTTCGGTTTAGTGCATGTAGTATTAATCTTTATAGTGCGGCATTTGAAAATACTTAAGATTAGATGAATCGAAAAACTTTTTGAAGAAGTCATCTGGATTCATATAGGGCAGGAATAACAGTGTTTTTCCATGAGTTATGAACTCAACGATGTCGTTATCCGGAAGCTAAGAGATTATTACGGTTTCTTTAGAACTAAGTCCTTTCCTACTTACATCCATACTGATTTCACTATCAATTTTGGTTGAAGTTTGCACTCATGATACAGCTTTTCCATGTATATCCGTGCTGCTTGCTTAGTGACTACATTACAGGAATGCACAGAATGCCTCATCGAGTGTGCATATGACTCAAATGCGAAAGCGGAACAGGATTCTGAAGACCCCATCTTTTCCACAACATCAACCAAATGTTGCAGGCTGTTGATGTTGTAAAAACCAAGTGTGATCTAAGTTCACCTAAGTCGCTAGAGTCAGTTAGGGTAATTTATTTCGATAAGCTCATCCAAATGACCATAGATTGCTCTTTGGGAATCCACTGTCATCTGTCACTTGAAAAGCTCTTCAGATCCTCCAATTGAATCGGTGTGAGTTCCAGTCACTGCAGGAGTGATAACTGTGAATATTCACCACCCCCCCCCCAATAATTCGTGTAAATGGTTGCTTCTGGTATAAGTAACTTTTCCTATGGGTAGCAGAATGTTGATGTCTCCATAAGGATTTTTTTCCTATAAATTCTTTCTTTAGACTTGTATCATAAAGTAGCAGGTTCCAGATTTAGTTTGCTCGTTGTATACCCCAATCAATAAACGGGATGTAACTATTACTTATCACATTCTGTCAATGGGTCATCGACTAACAGACTTCAGCGATCAGTTCAGCTGACCAGAGAATGTGTTGTTCATCAACGTAGCTATTTATGTAGGCACTCACATTAAACGTGGAAATTAGTCTATACCATATGGAGAAAATGCCTTTGCCTTCATTTCAGACTCACTTGTTTGTCGTAGTAGGTCACACCATAGAAATTGAGCTGTGCATTATATCGAACCTTAATTAAGCTAGTCGGTGAAGTAATCGCCACTTTGTATGAGTGTTTTGTGGCATCCGTACTAGAGAACAACTTTCAAGAAGCTTACTTTCCCCCCCCCTCATACTGAACAACTGCATGGTTTGACCCATGTATCATGCTGGAAACGATTCAATACATTGCATCTCCTCATTATAGGATCATTAGTGAAGGGAATGTCTAGTCGTGCTGTCGTAGAATTCTCAGAAATGCTTATACACATGTTTTGTCTTCCGCTGTGCTTTCTGCCAAATCTGCGCAAGGATGAAGTGTGTTAATGTGGAGTTATAGGTCATCCCATTGTTCCTTTATTTCTCGAAATCAATTCGTTGAAGTCAGCGAAGAAAGGAATAAAGAAGCACAGATGCCTAACAAAAACATAGTTTGGCATAGTTCCACTAATCTTAATGTTCGATTTCTCTTCTGCTATTAATATCAGACATAATCACTTTTTTTTTTAATACTTTTGATGGGTTGTTGATTCGCATTTTCGCCATTCATTTTTCTCCTTACACAGACATCATCTACGCACAAACCTGTAATAAGTATTTGTCAAGAAATAAAAAAGAAGCCTTTAAACACATATTGGATTATAAATGACACCAGATGAAGAGTCTCTTCTTGAATCACAGTGGACAGAAATTCAAAAGCCACATACTAGGACATCATCAAGACAAAAACACGAGCACATTATTCGTTATCGACGTTGGCTTGCATTTTTAATTGCCTTTGGAATTCTGTTGACATTGATACTTTTATTGGCTGCTTCATACTTTATGCATGTATATTCAAACGAAAATCCTCAAAAAGACTGTAAGTGATAAATAAATAAGGTGTCGCAATTGAGTGTAACGTAGGATTGTTGTCGTTTTCATAAAGCTTGTAGACTCATCTGTCACTTCTGCTTGACTAGAGAGCAATTCTTCAGGATAACATTTGTCTGAATTGCACTAAGTATGCGATTTACACCTGTCAAACACAAGTTGATATTTCAAGACTGGTTTGTACTAGTTGAGGTAGTAGAGCGCTCTAATGACCTCACTTATTTGGGGAGTCGCATCAACTCCAATGAACTGATTGTTGACAAAGTCTTGTCAGGGATACAAAAGGTTCATGAGTAATTCGTCAACCTTTCATCATCTCTGGCATGGAGGTGATATCTAACTGGCTATCCATCAAATGACGTGTGCACTGTGCATTAGTTCACACTGTTCTCTTTTAAGTCTGCAAGTCATGGCTATTAAGAATTGAAGGTATGAAAAGGCTAACCGTATGTGTGTGTATAAGATAATGACTAATATTGAGGTCAGGCATAGATTGCCAGGTAACAAGGGTGATTCAATCTATGAGATTGTGAGACTACATCGATTGAGATGGATGGGGCTCGTGGAGAACTGATGCCTTCCTCAACGAGTGGTGTAAGTGACATGGGATTAGGTTGAAAGGGGCTTAGGGTTGGTCAAACCCAAACCTGGAATTAGTCTATGAAGTCTTGGACAGTTGCTTTGAGCCAGCCACGTAGGTTCATGTAGACTGACTGATTGACGTCCTGGAAGATCTGACCTAGTCGATGGGTAGGCTAGTAATTCGGAGGCCTATGGCACGAGTGGCTTATTCGTCACATAGTTTTGCATAATACAAGTTCGACAGTGAATACTCAAACTTTGTCTCTTTTAATATTTGTAGTTAGATAGCTTCACCGTGTAAGCTATCTATTTCTATCTTTACTACCTACAGCAATATTCCTTTTTGAATTGTCGTGAAGTAATGATAACACAAAGTAATGATAAAATAAAGACTGTCTGGATTATAAAGTAGGTCTCTTAACTTGCTTCCCTTTTCACTTGCCGCAGCCTCGGCAACTAGGTTATATCATCAGTTGTCATACAATAAATGTGTGTCTTTTAAACTAATACATTAGAAATGCTTTCTGGATAACTGAGATATAACAGTATTAAATGAAAATAGAATAAATATTACGGAGACAGGCTTTCATCAGCCTAAGCACTTGACTTATAGACATTGGGCCATGGGTTCGAATCCCCTCCCAGTTTACTTCAGTCTGCGCGACTGGGGAAAGTTATCATCCCTCGATACAATAAGTGTATGGCTCACGACAACCGCTGAACTAGATTTTTAGTTATCTTTTCTAAGTAACAATTATTGTAATTTGGTAAACGGTGGTGATTAGCAGTGTAATCTAGGATGCGTGGTTCGTCCTATTCGAGGACTCGTCTATTAGGCATATCGACAATTCCATTGAGAGTGATGGTGTTCCCACTGATAGTCGAACCCAGTACCCTTTATTTCAGACACGAAAACCACTTGTTAGTTAGTCCTCAGACATCGTAAAAGCCTCCATACTAGGAATCGATATGTCAACAGAAGCCAAACATTTCAGTCCAGTTAAACACCGTTGCAAAAGAGGTGGCTCTCGTGACCAAAGTGGTCTGGAAGATAAGGCTTTGATGTTTGAAACCATGGGTATTGGGTTCAACCCTCAGTTGGAACAGGCAGATCCAGTTGACGGGTCCAAAATGGGACGAAATACGCATCCTGAATTCCACTACTGGTTACCACTCATTTAAAGTTCTCAGACATCGTTGAAGCGTACGTACTAAGAGCTGAAATGTTAAAAAAAAGGCCGAAAAATTTATTCCACTCATTCAGCGGGAATATCAAAATTGAGATTATAATTTCGTGGATTTGTTTTTTTCTATTTCATCCTCTCTTACTCTGTTTCTCTCTCTCCCTCGTACATTTTGTTTGTTCTTACAATATTTTTACTCAGTTCCTGATTCAGCAAATCCAATCTGTTTACTACCCATACTGACGGGAGTTGACTGTCAAGTTCACACACAACATTGGGGTTGGGATTCACAAACACACAGTTGTAAACAATTCATCTATGGAGAATGTAATACTAACAAGAATAACTTTTTATCAAAAGAAAAATGTGAAGAAGCGTGTAAAATTCGAATTAATGTATGAGAAAAGACGGAGAGGGTATATATGTGTGTGTGTGCGTTGGGGGGGGGGTAATTGTGAGTACACCACCCACTCACTCATCATTAAACTTCAATGCCTGCCTTTGCATCTATCCACATCGTCGCATGAAAAGCTTTTATCTCTTTTCCTATCTTGTTTATTCCCTTTTTTGTTACTGTATATGTTTATCTCATAATATTACTAACTAACATTAAAAGTTTTTCAAAGTAGAATTTAGCAGAAACTAGTTTTCTGGTGTTTCAACAATCCAACATCTAAATTTTAATAACTTTATATTGTTATTATTACTTACTGTATAATTGCAGGACTCTATGGTACATGCTCATGGATCATCATTGAACTATTTAATCTTATATACACCAAGAAGTTTTTTAAAATTTTCTATTCTCAACTTTGCTCCCATTTTTTTAAACCAAAATGATGACACACACATATTATGTAATTAGGTATATTTCGTTTCTATCATTGGCTTTAAGTTCATCAGTGTTTAACACTCTCACTTTAACATTGTGTCATGCGTTTTACCGAGTCATTAAAAATGGGATTCTATCCAGTTATACGATGGCAAAATATATGCGTTCTTCTTTCTGAGTCAGTCAGTTTGAGAACATAAACCACAATACTTCTGTGTCTGTGTAAGAGGTAAGGTGACACCTGATTGAGTGAGTGAGTGAGTGAATAAATGTTGAACACTAGTGAACTAACTTAAAGTCATGATAGAAATGAAATAAAATGTTCTAACACACCTTCCCTTTTATGACATATCGCATTCTCTCCCGCTCGTTCGATCTCATTGGTTTCAAATTCGTATACAAACAAGAAATCAGAGCACTACATGAGTATATGTGTGTGTGTGTGTAGGCTCAGAAATGTAGACAGCTTTTTACATGCATCATATTGTAAAGGATCTGACTTTTTATTGCTTTTGTATTCATTATTGAAATGTTTCATTTATTTATTTCCTTTTTTTATTGTTCTAATTTTTTTATTCATGATTGAAAGAAGGCTTCGATATAATATCAAAAGCCTCTTTTTTAATAAAAATAATAATAATAAAATCTTCAATAACGATGCTTCTTCTTAAATCTAATTCTGAGACACTTGAGTGACTTTTTTCCCCAAAGTATTTTACATATTTTATGTCGACTTGCCTAATATGATTGCCCTCATTTCTATTTAATAATTTCATCATACCCTAGCTGATTTCAGCGGCTTACACATTCATCTAGTGACTTAGAGCATACGGATGACATATTGTCCGCCTAGGTGAAGATGCTGAAAAAATGCAGTGTCTTTGAGCAGAAATCTTTGAATGTTTTTTTATGAAATTTGTTCCTGTCCAATGTAATGTAAGATGATGCTGCAGGAGTGTGAAACGTGGCCATTGAGAGCGGAAGACATGAAAAGATTAGCTGTCTTTGATCATAGGTGTCTGCGTTCTATCTCCCGCGTGAAGTGGTATAATAAGGTGAGCAATATTGAGGTTAGGCGTCGAGAGCTAGGTAAGGAGGTCGAAATCAGTCGACGAGACTGTGAAATTACATCGACTGAGATGGTTAGGACATGTGTTGCGTACACATGCCTAGTCATCGCCTTCCTCGACGGGGAATGTTAGCTGATATAGGGTCAGGCTGGAAAAGAGCTAGCGGTGGTCAAACCAAAACATGGCACCAGTCAATGAAATCCACAACAGTTAGTCTAAGCCACGTAGGAAGGTGTAGACTTCCTGGTTGGGGTCCTCGAGACGGTAAAAACCAATGGTTGGAAACAATCGGTGACATGGCTCAAACTCATCGTTCTCAATGGCTAGCGCAGATGCATCCACTCCTTGTGACTTATGATTTCCAATTAAACTGTTTTGTTCTTCGTTATTACTATTCCTTTGTCTCACACCTCTGTTTACTGTCTATATTATGCATTTCTCCTACTTTCTTCTCTTGCTTTGTGTGCTACAAGGAGGGAGTGTGGCGACTTGAACAGCCGCACATATGTGCAAAGTTCTATGTCGAAAACAGACAGACAGATGCTACAGGACTGCACTACTCTCTAGACTCCTAGCTTAGAGATAGAGAATGGAAATCGTAGAGCGTTTTGACTTTTTCACTTATTTGGGAAGTTGCATCATCCATAATGAACTGACTGATTGATGACGAAATCTCAGGATGTTGCATTTTCCAACTTACGTGATATCCAGCTATGAATCAAAGGACGTTCGTATTACTCAGTAGTTCGATCCGTCTTCTTTTATGCCTGTGACACATGACTATTGAAAGTTAGAAATGTGGAAAGGTTACCTGTCTTTGATCGTAGGTGTGTGCGTTCTGTTTCCCTTGCTAGTTGGTATAATACGGTGGGTAATATAGAGGTTAGGTGTAGAGTGTTAGGCGAGGGGGAAAAGTCAATCGATAATGTTGTGAAGCTGTATCGATTGAGATGGCTAAGACACATGCGTTACCCATTCCTAGCCATCGCCTTCTTTGACGGGCAATGTTAGCTGACATAAGATCAGGCTGGAAAATAATAATTTGCTTTATTCCAGAAACAGTACTAGTGGTACAGTGTGGAATTTTTCAGCACATATCTACAATATTTGCGTCTAATTTTATCAAACATTTAAAAGGAGTATTAAACAAAAAAGAAGAATAAATATAAAGACACCAACAGCCAAAAAAAACAGGATAAACACAAAAATAATTATAAATGCGAAAAATTTCATGCATTTGGTTCCCTTGATAAATTTCGAAATGCGAAAAAGTACCAAGAAATAGAAAGGAAAATAAACAGCATATAATAATAACTCAGTA